AACGGGATTACTTAAAGTGCACCTACACCCAAAAAATTTTTTTCGCTTAACGAAGTAAGCTTATTTTTTTGAGTATTTCTGCGCAAAAATTTTTTTATTTGCTCAAATCTTCAATTTTCTATGCCCAGTCAAAATACGGAAAATCGGCCGCCATCTTGCCCCACGACCGAGTTTAAAGAAGAATGGCTCTAGCGGGTAATGTGACGTCAAATCGAGAACACGAAAGTCTGCATCTCACACATTTTCACTTGTTTGGGAAGATTGTCGTCGATATTGTCCGAAATATGCCGACTAGGTGTGTTGTATGAAGAATGTATGAAGCGCGATACCCTCTTGCAAATTTCGCACGTTGCTACATCCTTCTACAACACACTTAGTCGGCATATTTTCGGACAATTATCGACTACAACCTTCCCAAACAAGTGAAAATGTGTGAAATGCAGACTTTCGTGTTCTCGATTTGACGTCACATTACCCACTAGAGCCATTCCTCTTTAAACTCGGTCGTGGGGCAAGATGGCGGCCGATTTTCCGTATTTTGACTGGGCATAGAAAATTGAAGATTTGAGCAAATAAAACAATTTTTGCGCAGAAATACTCAAAAAAATAAGCTTACTTCGTTAAGCGAAAAAAATTTTTTGGGTTTAGGTGCACATTAAGTAGACAGCAATATCTGTCCTTTGATCAAGTGGGTCCTGAACTTTGCAATTAAAACTCAGTACAAAATATTGGCTGAGGTTCATGTAAAATGAGATGAAACCTTACTAATAAAATCTATTCCTACTTAATAAAAGAAATAAATCACAGCTGTGCCTCATACTAGTAATTACAAGTGAAGTTAAAAGCACAACACCTGTGTTTGGCTGGCATCCTGAGTTGAACTTGGACCTGCCAGAAAAAGAAGAAAAAACATAAAATACCATCTCTTGAGACCAGGAATCTATGCCAAAGTTACATTAAAAACTTGCTTGTTCATCATGTGATTTATACAACAAAATGTGAAGAAAAAGAATACAATGTAGCTGTGTTTATACCTGGTTGTGGGGGACTACTTGAGCCAGTTGCAGAGGTAACACCAGGGGCAGGTGCTTGTGATGGGACAGGAGGTTGCTGTCCAGGTGGAAATGGAGGAGCACCCATGGGTGGCCAACCAGGAAACATGACTGGAGGAGCTAGGAGTAAAAACCAGACATTAACATGTACCGAGTGATGTGAACAATACTTTTCCACCCTTAACATGTATCTCTTAGAAGTGATTGACTAGTAACTTCTCCCTATAATATACATACATTTTTCAGAAAACAGGTTATGAGAATATTCAAACTTATCAGGTAGAAGTTATGATGCTGATCTTGCAACAAATTCTCATAAATAATTAACAAAGAAATTTGTAGCAGCTAGAGGTGAGAATTAACAATCAGATCTTGGGAGCCAAAGGATTAATAAAAGATAAGTTGAAAAAATGAAATGAGAACGATCCTTAAAAATTGATATGAAAACTTGCTTTTGATAGAAGTGCCACGAGTGTACAAATTCCACTTCTCAGAGAAAGATTGACACAGATATGATACATGGATTGACAAGAAGCTGGTTTACAAAGCCTATGAATACGATTCAACGAGCACAATTCTTGTAGGAGGGTTGCTAACTCAAGCATATACTGTCTACTTCTAAAAAAAAAAATCAAATCAGCAGGTAAGGTAAGAAAGATGCAAGTTTTAGAAACATAAGCATGAGGTCATTTATGATACAAACAAGTCTCTTTTTAAACAAGTTCTTACCATTTGGTAGCCCTTGAGGTGATACCCCTGGGGTAGGGGGGATTCCCATAGGAGGAGGAGGAGGAACCCCCATGGGAGGGAAGCCAAATGGGGGCTGAGGAACTTGTGGGGGTGGTGGCTGCTGAGGTTGTGGCGGGGGCTGAGGTCTAAGCACATCCATTCTACATGTTGGACATGTTTGCTGCCTTTGAAACCAAGAGCGTAGGCAGCTTGTGTGGAATATATGGTTGCATGGCAATTTTTTACAGCCTGTTGTCATTTCTTCACGACATATAATGCATACATTGTCCCCTTGTTGGAGTTCTTCAGGTGTGGCATCAGGATAACTAGACAAGACACAAAAATTAAGGAACAAAATTAATCCTCCATTGGCCTTAATGAGTAGAACAGCATAATTCATGCTGAAATAGTTTATGTTTGTTGAACTTAACTGTTTTGCAAGAGGACAATCCTCTGATTTTGAGAACAGACATCCATAAGAAATAAAGCGATGCTTCAATCTTAAATGTCTCATGAGGTTGGTGAATGGGAAACAGGTTCCCAGCAATAAATAACTACTGATACTCACAGTGTATTCATATTTGAAATGGCACGCCGAGACATAATAACATCACTAATACATTTCTTGAATCCCCTGAAATGAAACAATAATCAAAAGAGTTAAGGTTTGCTCCTCCCTAGGAAGAGCTGAAATTAGCTTTCTCTCAAATAACTGCATCAAGGAGTGAAAATACTAACAGTAAAGAGGGAAATGTGTTTGTTTGCTTTAAGCACCTCCTCATAAAATTTTGCATTCCCATGTATACAGCATAGTTGAGTCAATGGGGGGTAGATTGTGATTCAATGCCAAAAGTTAATTCAAATGTTGTTTTTGTTTTTGTTTTGTTTTTTTTCAAATTATTACAATTTTTATTTTGGTTTTGCTTGCCCAGCCTTTGTGACTGGTCTAGAAAATTCACACCATCCTTAGACACTCATATACTGAAACTTAAGCTTCTATGAGTTCTAAATGTTTACAGTGATAGTTTCCTTTCTTCTCATTATTTGTTGCCAATAATTTGGTTTTACAACAATCAAATGAATTGTGAGCTAGATGATCATTTGCAACAACAACAAAGGTGTTCCATAAAGTGATAGTTGATTCAATAAAAATCAAGAGGCTTACCTTAATGTCAAGTACATGGGTCTAATGGCAAAAAGTGGGAATGTGTGTACTTTGATCATGATGATCATGAAACAAATATAAAGAACACTCTTGATAAAACCTACAACAAAAGAAAATGTTGAGAAATAATCATTAAAATAAGATGGCTCGCATACACTTTTATTGAAAACTTATAGAAAAAAATCCTTGTATGAAGGCCATAGGCCTTGACAAAAGAAAGTGAAAGGGTAGGGTGGTATTATTAATTGCTTATTGCACTGGAAAATATTTTGCTCTTCATCATGCTGCACTCCATCTGTACATCATGACCAAAACTTATTTTCCTGCCGAACTCTCCCACTAAGTCAATAGGTACATAACTATGAATTGCATCACACAAGATCAAGGCGAATTATCCAATCAAAACCCTTGACCTCTTGAGCCAAACTTTGAGACACATATTGTTACACCATCAAATCTGCTATTTTGCAACATCGATAGAGTTTGGTAAATAAAATATAATCATCGTTACCTGTAATTAATTCAGTGTACAATAGATAGACTGCTTTGTTATCCCAAGGATTTTCACTTCGTAGGTCTACAATGTGCAGGACATATTTCATCTGAATGGTTACCACTATTGTTAAGAGAATGGCATACTGCAACAAAATTGTGAAAAAAAAAAGAAGAAAATCAGATGCCTAGATTATGCTCTCAGAGTAGTAAGAAAACAATTTTTGGCAAAGGAATAAAGGGGGTAAGTTTCTAAAGAAACTGTGGTGCTGTGTCGGTGGGGGAGTATAACATTGAGTAATTTTGGCTTTATCAACTGACTTGATGATGTAAATTGGCCACCGTAAAGATTTTCATACATGACATTTGTAAGTAAAGTCAATAATGCACATAACTTGTGATTCAGGTTTATGAAAATGTGTAAATACCAAGAATCTACATGCTGTAAATATTTTCCAGTGTTAGATACCCCATTTACTGGTCCATCTTACCACATAATTAGTGGCTGGCTGACATATTGATACTTGCACAAGTCAGCAGTGGTAAAGCCACTTCAGGTTTAGCAGGTACTCATTTGTGATGAAACCCCCCCTCTCATAAAAAAATGATAGTTATACTATTCCTATGGATAATCAGAGCTGTATCAATCTCTATTCTAACCTCAAATCCAAAAACAAGTTGTACTGATGCTCCACTTTGCATTGTTGTATTGTATGCAATATGCACAAGAACTGCATCGACCATCCCTAAAAACATGAGAAGCAACACTGCTCGGACATGGAATAACCAAGTCAATACTGGACTTCTTTCCATGTAGTCAACCCTATCTTCTGCTAACCAATGGAAGCATTTTAGAAACAACAGCATTGTAAACTGAGCAACAAATCGAGGGCTAAAGTCATCGCGGAAAACTGTGAATGCCAAGCAGGTTTCAGTGACTGCATACCATGATCTTTCAATGAGATGCTGAAACAAAAATCAAATGAATGTGTCAAAACCAATTTGTTTCAAGAGTGCTTTTTGTGTGTGCAAGTGTTTTAAGAAAATAATAAAATTGAAAACTGGAGTAAGGAATTCTTCACTTGGAATGGATATTTGAGTAATAGCTTAGAACAAACAGGAAATTGATAATAAAAAAAAACGAGATAAAATAATTTACTTGCAATTATAACCTTATTTACTAAGGTACCTACAACTTACACTAGTTACAGAAACTCGATTGCCTGACTCATTTTTACGCAAAAAGATAACAAGTTAGAGATTCACTTATAGTAAAGAGGCACTTTACCTCCATCTCAGCCGCTCGCAGGTGTCCAAAGAAAACTTTTCGCATCATTTTACCGAATAGGATCACAAGCACGAAAGCTTGAATGTACAAAACCTACCAGAGAGAATGACAGATTTTATGTCAAAACAAAAGAAGGGTTTCCTCATTTCACTATATAACAGAATACCAGCTTCATTCACTAAGAAAAAGCAGATTTTTCGAGTAAATTCGATCAGCCAAAACTAGCAGCTTACCGCCATACTTGGACTAGACTTGGTTAAGTACACAACAGAAGGGTAAAATTGATTCTTTTGGTAGTAAGCATTCGCTACAACAGCCCCAGTTAACGCCAAGCTGGCTGCAGTGAGTACCACTTCTCTCATCTTGTAGGCTGGTATTAGCGCTGAAGTTGAGCTAATAAATTTAACACATAATCTTCAAACTCTGCCGGACCCGTTTCGGCAATGACTTGGTAAACACTTGAGAAAATTCCAAAATTCCGTGGCCAGTTTTGACTGGCTACCAGCTACGTACCTCTACTGAAGAAACAGAAAGTACACACGTCTTCACATACGGGAACTTGTGTTGTCTTTTGTGAGAATCCGCTGATTCTCAAGAACGGAGGCTCGACGTGGCGACGCGAATTCCAAATTTAATCAAAGTCGCGTAACTCTGGCTGATAATATTTGTTGAATTATTGCCTGAAGAATCTTCGAAAAGTCCATCATGTTATGTGTTCGATTACATGCCAAGTTTGTGCGCGAAAACTGGTGCGATAAAATTTTCAACTCTGACCGAAGTCTACGGGTTCTCTAATGCATTAGAGAAAATATATTTAGTTTTCAGAACTTACGGGCGTATGTATGTTTTAAAGGCAAGTAAAGAGTGCGTCTTCACTTTCCGCATTAGGAACTGACTTGTGCTCTAAGCTCGACTGAAGAAAAATAATAGCCGATCTTCAAGCTAAAAGATATTTTCCAGAAATGCTAAAGAGGATCGTAGTTATGTTCACTGCCAATAGAAAATAATATCCCATTTTTTTTTTCGCCTTCCCCCAAAAACTGATCACTTGTGAAAACATGGTCTGGACAAAATTCAGCCAAGAACTGTAGTGACACAGCCTAAAAGACGTCAAAAACTAATCCTTGCTTCCCTCAGAGCACACCGGCCAAAACCGCAGACTCGCGACTTTATGCTCAAAAGTCACCTCCTCCTCCCCCCCAAACTGTGCACATTGGTTTTTAAGACTTATTTTCACATTAACTTGCTCAACATCAGTTATGGGCAGAAAATAGTGAGGTTTTAGTGGGAGTTTTCTGGGAGTGGCATCCGGATGGGGAAGTATATAGGAAGTCTGGTACAAGTTTGTCAAGTGCCCCAAAGTGACGTGTCCAACTAAAACATCACTTATTTGTTATGCTATTTCAAGAAACTGGAGTAACTGAAATGAATATAACTGAAATAAAGAAATGTCTCTTTTGATTTTCAACTTACACTGAAGGCCTATCAGAAAGGACTATTTAATTATGAAAGAATCGTGAACCCAGAATAAAATCTGACGTGTAAATGTATTGCTGAAATAAAACGTTTTCAGCTTCGCTTATTTGTTTGTCACAGTAACCAGGAAGAAGGGTCAGTACGCCTCTAATTATCAGACAGAAGTTTATTTTACACACGGCTTGATTACGTCAAAAGGCATTTGATATTTGTTACCTTTCTACGGGTGCTCTCTCTGCCTGCTTCAGGGAAACGTCCCCTTGTTTGGGATTGTCATTTGGAGTTCTTGATTGTTTTTCTTATCATTGTATGCAAGAAGTCTATCAGAATTAAAAGAAGTCAAAGCATTCACAAGTTATTTCATGCTTCAGCTATAATGAAACCCTATTTAGTTCATTTCCGGATCAACGCACCTGCTCACGTGACCAAACCCGTCAGGTGACACAGTCCGCCATATTGGTCCAGCCCACATTCCTTTTTAGAAAGCGAAGAAACGACAAAAAAGGCAACAGGTTTTTGAGTTCCGAACTCCATAAAAGGCCATCCCACAACTGGCGTAATGCAGAGCGAAGAATCCACAACAACAACGGATGAACTAGACAACATGCATTACGGAGCTCAATCTCAGGGAAGCGGAGTTATTGATCCGGCCTCGATTGAAGAAGAAGATTTCGAAGCAGCAATGGCTGGCGATCACGATGCACATGGATTAAAACGACATGCAGAGAGCGACGACGATGGTGACGCTGATACTAGCATGTTGGTGGAGGAAAGACCCAAGAAAAAGACCCGAGGACGTGTTAAAATCGAAATGAAGTTTATAGCCAACAAATTGAGGAGGTACACAACGTTTAGCAAAAGAAAAACAGGGATTATGAAGAAGGTTCGTGTACACATCTTGCAGTTGGCGCGCGAATTTGATATTTTGTTAGTAGATTTTAATGTAAAAAGAGTGCTTTCCTTGTAAAATTTACTCTATTATTTTATTTATTCTTTCTTTCTATTTTAAAGGCCTACGAACTAAGCACGCTGACCGGAACGCAAGTGATGTTGTTGGTAGCTTCCGAGACAGGGCATGTTTACACCTTCGCCACAAGAAAACTTCAACCCATGATTACTTCAGAGAGCGGTAAAGCTCTCATTCAAACGTGTTTGAACTCTCCCGATCCTCCTGTTTCTCAGATTCCGAACCCAGACCAAAGGATGTCAGCAACGGGATACGAAGAAACAGATCTAACTTACACGGTTAACGAAAATGACGCCGAGAAGATGCAGGTAAGTTATCTTGTTTGAAGTAGAATAATCTTATAAATGCTCTTTATCTTCCATTCATTGAATTGTACATATACAAGAAAAACAAACTGACAAAGAGAATATGTCTGAAAATTTTGACATTTTTAATAAAATTAATGGATAATTTTCTTCCATGTTTTTCTTCTTCTCCGTGACCTGGAAGATCCCGATACATGGCATTAAATCGATCACGTCTCGTTCTCAAAGCGCAGGCAAGAAAAGTTGACAGTAGGATATTTTCTTGAAAAGAGAAGTTGTAGAGAGGTTCTAAGCAATCAGCCCTGCGTTTTTGTGCAAAACTTACCTTTATCATGCATTATACCGTGTTTATATAATACTTTCGCGGCAAAATGCTCGGTTAAAATTTTTAAACTCCGCGTCCTTTAAAACATTCCAACCATATATGGCACCCGTTTCCTTCTTTGGTACGTTTCCTGCCCATTTTTGGAGACTTAAGTAAACCCTTTCGTTCCTCTTATTTGGGGAATCCTCTTTCGGTCGCAAATATTTCCATTTCATAATGTGATCGCAACAATTAGGTGGAATTAACTTTCGCGACTCATCCATGAGATTTTTCGTTTTTGCTTTCGCTCGAACATTGTAATTTGATCTTCTCGTCTCATGGAGAATTTTTCGGACAGGCTCGATTTCCTCGCTCGTCATCGCATCGTCGAATCAGAATTTTCTTGATAAAACGTTTTATCGACTTCATTCATGAAATCACCTGTATTTTATACGCTTTTAAAACTGAAAATTTAAATTTCTTAAAATTTCATACTGCGATGGCGTATTTTTATATTGTTTCTGAACATTTCTGCGTCATTGTAAAACCACATTTGACGCCGTGCTATTCAGGTTTGCAATTTCTTCGCCTCCAAATAAAGAAGATTTAAGATTTTTAATTTTTGTATTGAAGATTTTCAATGACTGCAGTCGTCTTCATGTCATCTCTTCATTATATTATAGTTTTTCCTGGCGTAAACAGGTTGTTGACAACGTACCTGTTGCAAAACCTAGCAGATATTGTTTGAATTTTTAATTTTAAAAAAATTACCATTTAGGGATGTACAAATCAAGAACTGATGGATAATACTAAAACAATATCATGTATAAAGAAATAGGTTAAAATAAATTATGTAAAATTCGAACCTCTAAATATAATATTGAAGTAGGGCATTTGTTGATTTTATCATAATATTTTTGGTGGGGTGTTTGTGAATTTTTATAATTTCAGGGCTATTTTTACTAGTGTCCCCAATTAGCAGCGGATTTATCCTTGACTATGTATCACTGACATTTCATAAAGTTATTGATTGATTGACTGATCATTATTTTTCATACATAAACTAATGAGAAAAGTATGTGAACTGAACATAAGGTTGGCTTCAAGTCTATTACATTATGTTTAGATAAAAGTATTCTGTAAGTTTCATTCTGTAGTTTGCACATTTTATTTCAGTATTGTATATGATATGATTGTTAGAAATAACAAGTTTTCTTTGTTCTTACAAATTACTTCAATCTATGTCTTTGCTCACAAGAAAATTTCCTTATTTTCTAGGATCGAGGTGGCATTTTCACATCCCAACAAATAGATACTAATCAGGGACTGACAGTTGGTTCAATATCAGGTGCAAGTGGATCTATGACAGGTATTACAGCCTTGCCGGCAACAGGGCATTCCTTCCCCATCACCACCTACATCCCACAATCTAACATCCAACAGCAAGGTGGTAACAAGAACACATCGATCCAGTCTTCGTATTCTGTGCAAGCCATGCCAGGCGGTGCATTTACCACTATATTTGCTCCAGGGACATCTGTCCAGTTGGGACAGACACTTGCCCAAGGACAGCAGCAAGGGTCTACAGTACAGGTACACAGTTCACACAAGTTTGTTCCTTCATTTTGCTGAGAATTACCAGTGATTACCCGCTCTATGAATTTCAACATCTTTTGCACTTTCTTTGTTCAAGAAGAATTGTAGAGTAAAGTAAACGACATTCACCTTGCCAGCAAATTAAGCATAGTTTTCAGTGCAAATCAAGAACTGGCAATTATAAATGCAGATTCACGTTGATGTGCTATTGTGTTCCTCACTAAAAATGGTAACTTTTATCAAGAATTAATGAGAACTACCATAAACTGCCCAATCCTTACTTTGAGTTTTTATCAGTTACTCTGAATATAATTATGTAAATATACTCCTTAGTGCATGATATACTTCTATACTGTACTACTGAAATCATCTTCTCTGGCTCTCTACTCAGCCTTGATTAGCCAAAGAGTAATTTATAAATAAGCATGTTGTTAAGATTGAGGCAAGTCTACGGTCCGAAACTGCTGTCAGTATAGTTTGATTTTAATAACCATACACCTGTAGTATTGTTTCATGTTTGGTATAACTGACTAAACTGCATTAAAAAATTTTTATCTGCCCACCAAAATCACTGGATTGAAAATAATTATGCAAGAATGGTCTCTTAGAAGATAAGGTTGAGTTCCATTTAACAAAAGTCAACATCAAGTTGGCCATGTTATGACAGTTTTGGTCATTATATTTGTGTGTTGAAGTCAATACATTGATCACAATGCAGTGAAGTATGCACAATGCTTTGTGAGTCGACTCCTTATTCGGAGGTTATTAATCATGCACAGCTGGACAGTTTGGTGTTTGGAATCTTAAGAGTTTAACACTTGTTTGCTTCATTCTGTCAACATTTTTGTGGTTTGTTAAAAGTTAAGTTCCTTTTTTGGTTTGTCAACAAAATTCTCTCTGCAGAGAGAAAATCTGACCATTTCCCGTCATCAGATCATAGTATTTGTTCATATTAGGAATTTCAAGGCATACGTAAACCGATTTCTGCAGTCTCTATCACTGAAATGTGAACATGGATTTCAAAGGAGATTGTAAAAGACCAAACCTCTTTCAAGCTCAGGGTAACTGTTTTCAAACATTATAATTTCTTGTACAGTACATAGGCTGTGTAAGTTTAGTTTGAGTTAAGAGATAGCTAAAAACCTGGTAATAGATTAGTTGAAACTGAAATTGAAGATGACAAAGAGTCATATGGATTGAATAGGAATGCTAAATGTAAATAAGTTAGTAAGAGTGATTCACTTTAAGAGACAAATAACTGAAAGGTTCATTACATAATTACAGTAAATCAATATTATTAACACTTGTCGAAAAGTGTTCATATGAAAGGGTAACACTGCTGAGTTCAGTGACATGGCACCCTTTAAAAGTTGTTAACAAATACAGGGTTTAATTTGTGATGGCTGTTACTTTAGTTTTGTACAATCATGTAGAACCTTTACCATCTGAGCTACCTACTCTTACTTTTTTAATTCATACAAAGGAGAATCTGTATTCTATGTAATTCTACTTGTGCACTAGTAAAAATGCACTTAAGATTTTTATCATAATCCTTGAGAGAGTAGAGAACGGGCCAATTTAATGTATTGAAAGCAGAATGTACTCTGTTAGTCATTTTAAGGCCCACAGAGGAAAAGCTTTTTATTGTTTCTTCAGTCTCTGTATGATATACCTCTTACTGAGTTTGAGGTCTGTGCCAAAAGTTATGGACCAATTTTTTTCAGCTTGGATTTATGGCCCAAGCACAAAATGAGCCAACCTTAAAAAAAAAAAAAAAAAAAAAACAAGGTTCCATATCTTACTGTTCAGACCAAGAAAATGAGGCGAGTAAGATATTTATTTTGTCTTTGCATCCAAATAGAGGGACAATATTTCAAGTCACACAACCTAAAAATTTAGTGGGCTGTATAGTGAAGTACAACCTGCTAAATTAACCAACCATAGTGCATGTACTTACTGAGGGATACAATAAATCATTATTCTTGATGGTATATTGAAATATAGTATTTCTGGTCGAATTAGGTACTTGCACAGCCTGCTGTGCAGATCCAGCGAGTACAGCAGCCTCAGACTCAGACAGTGCAAGTTAACCCAGTCAACACTACAACAGCCTCCAACACCATCACCTTGCCGATTGTTCAGGATTCAGGTCAGACCCATGATAATAATGTTGACCAGTCATCTGGCTCACAAGGAAACAACTTGCAGTCAGTTGGAACAGTTGTAGTCCCCATAGCAACCAATCAAGATGGGAGTGTTTCCCTTGGAAATGCCATACCCTCTTCCATGATGCTGACATCTTCTCAAGCAGGCCAAATCCCATTGATGTACAGTGTGTATGCATCACCTAACTCTGGGCTGGTGACTGTGTCTAACCTTGCAGACAGTGGCACAGAACAAGGGTCAGGACATACCCATCTGTCTGGAGAGGCAAGTGATATAACACAGCAGGCTCTTCCTGGTTCTCTGTCGTTGGCTACAGTTCAGGTGCACCAGGATATAAACTCTGGCGTGCATGCTTATGCAACACAGGCAGTTGTCACAGAGAGTAGTGGCACTCAGACTGCAGATGATATGCATACTGTTGTCAGTGATCATGGGAATTTAACCGTGGGTACAGAGTCAGACACAGGTATTGTGAAAAATGACCTGTCAGTGTCTGTCAATTAAATCCTTTCACTGTGACAATCTAATCAGTAACTCTCCTTACTGTCTGCCATACAACTCTTATGATGCTGGTTCTGAGAATTTGGTATTGTATCGACTAATGATCCCTCGACTGACGTTTTTCTATATTCTCTCATCAAGTGTGTTTGATGTTGTATTGATACTCAAAGGAGAAATTCTGTCATAATCACACACAACAGTTAAAGAGGTGAGCAATTGTCCACTTCCAGGTAAAATTGCCAATGTTGTGTAAATTTAGCATTATATTGAAAAGGAAAACCTCATAAACATTTAATTTTCACGCACATAAACATATGCTTACTACAAAACTAGTTTTGTAGTTTTGTAGTAAGCGTATGTTTATGTGTGTGGAAAATAAATGTTTATGAAGTTTTCCTTTTCAATATAGTGATGAGTAATACTTTCTTAGCTTTGGCAATCAGAATTTTGCAAAGATGTGTAAATTTAAGATTTCTTGAAAATAATGGGAGCAAGCATCATCATGTGCATTTAATAGAAACAAAGCACAGCCAACTTGATTTACCAATCTCCTACCAAGTGCCATTTTGGAACATAATATATCATGTGGTTGGACCTATACCACACAATAATTTGTAGTTCCATATCTCCCAAGGTTTTCAGGGAGTAGTACTGATCGTAGATACTAAGGTGCAACCATGGAGTTTTCACATGATATTAACCATGAAAATTCTTATAATAAAATAGCTGAAAATTTTATAAAAATTTATTTCTTGTATTAATAATTAATTAGGACTTGCTTCCCATTTTTTGTTAACAAGTCTAAGTTTACTCAATATTTTCAACTATTTTTACAATAATTTGTTCAAGTAGTGAAGTATCCTACAAGCAGACGGTTTTGCAAGGACAATTGTTTATTTTTTGAAACCTCACACATTTAAATGTGAGGTAATGTGTACCCTAGATGAAATGTCATTGGTGATAGTTATTTTAATGTAGCATTGAGTTTTTGCAATTCTTCAAGCATCTAATGGCATGACAAAAATATTATCAGTACTGCACTTGGAATTTTATCCTTCAAAAACTTACAGAATTTGAACTAAACATGGAAAAAAATTTTAGTAGATCTCCTGATGCAAGGTTAAGTAAGGCTTATGATATACCCAATATGTAAAAAATGTTGCAACAATTAAAAACTACCGGTAATCACCGATTAAAGGCGTAATTATGTCGTGGTGGATATTTACCGAGCTGCAAAGTGACAAGGTAAATATCCACTGCTAGCCACTGACACTGAGTTGAATAGTTGTTTTAGTGTATAATTCAACAGTGAGATAATCTAGCTCAAAAATACAATTTTAACTCATTTAATTATTCCTGCAACAATTGCAATATTTTCTGGCACAAATCCTGGATGCATTGCTGGGAAGTTAAATAGCAAAGGATATTTGGAGTTTGAGTAGCCAATCAGAAGGTGCCTTCAATGCTATCCACTGTTATATTATATACCCATCATTATTATCTATTTCCCAAGAAAAGTCTTGAGAGTAGAAACTTGTAACTATAATACAGCCTTTTCTCTTGATGTTGGGCAGCATTGAATGATGTTCTACTTATTACAAGTTTCTCAAGTGATATAAAATGATATACAGTTCACTTCATTATCAAATAGAGATGATTAAGATTTTGGACAATCATATTCTAGTTGTAAACAGTCTTAACTGTTAAAGATGTAATTATTTAATATAAATAGTTTGTACATTTTCATCTGATGGTCATTAAGGAGCATGAAAAAAAAAATGTATTATATATCCTAGTAGACATTTGTTACAATTTTTTACTTATAAGTAACTTTTTTCCTAGTATAGCTTTGAAATACAAAATGAAAACATGTCTAAACCTTTCTCCTCTGATGACTATTTTTCTGGTGGGTTACCTATAAGAAGTGAGACGTGATGTCTTTACTGCTGGAATGTTGACCCTTTACACCCTAACATCAGTATGCAGATTCTCCTCATTGTTCTCTATACAAATTTTCCAAAGGTGCTGACAAGGAGAATTTAAGATATAATCAAGAGCTTCCAATAATCAATTCTCATAACTTTAATATGTGATTTAGAGGTGATACCGAGGGAGAAATCAGATGTCAGTCACTCTTGCATCAATTGGCATCATGAGACCAAAGTTTTTGTGAAAATTATTGTTGCGGCAAGGAAATTATGGACCAAACAGTTTCAGAAAAATTTCTTATGTCACACGAGGTAAACTTAAAGTGTGACAAAGAACCATTAGAGAACAACCAATTTCTTCTGTTAAAACTAGCTCCTTGAAATCCCTTTTGCCTTCGCTGACTAAGTTGTGTGACAACATCTGTGACAAGAATTTGCTTCCAAAGATTCCTTATGCAAAAACCTACGACCTCCCCGTCGTCTTGTCTACCAACTTACAAGCACTAGGAAATAAGACTGACGAATTGCGACTCATTGTGTCGCTCGACAAGGCTGATGTGGTTTGTGTAAAAGAGTGCTGGTCATTATATCTTTTGTAAATAGCTCTGTAATTCAGCCATTTTGTATATTGCTGCAATGAGTCTTAGTAAACAGTCTTTATTATTACTGTTGCTGGTACTTGTCCCAGAAAGGTGTTAACCCTTTAACTCCAATGGTGTGATTGTTAATTCTCTCCTCTGGCTGCTATGCATTTCCTTGTAAGTTAGTTACCAGAATTTGGTATTGGATCAAGAGAACTTCTGCCTGATAAGTGTGAGTATTCTCATCTGTTTGCTGAATAATGCATAGATATCATAACTCAACCATTCCATGTTACTCTTGCATGAGGAGCTCAATCTCTTCAGGTGGAGCACGCACTCTGATTTCCTTCTCAACCATTAAATCAACTATATCTTGCAAATCATCTGGCAGATGCTGTGCAGCATCCATGTACAAAGTCTGAAAGATGATATTTCAAACAAGTCTTACCAATGGAGTCTCTTATCATGTCCAATAAGTAAAACCCATAGTGCTGAGTCGAGTATTCTAGTCCCCTAAATCAGATGATTAGCTAATATTTAATATTAATTTATGCTTAAGGAGAATTACTACAAGGAAAATGATAAAAATAGCAGCCACCTTAAGGGATTTTTTTTCTTCATAACCCTGCCATTAATTTTCATAATGCATTTTGATGGCAAAATCTTGTTGACTTTTTTGTAATTTCCAGAGCAGCATTTGAGCTCAGCTTCTTAATGTCACTACCATTGAATTCCACAAGACAATTTTTTTTTCTTCCAAGTTAAAATGAAAAAGTTCAACTCTTTGAGCTGGCTTTTTCTCTTTTCAATGGAAAGAATTGAATGTAAATGAGGGTTACTGTGTGATAACTGTCCAATGACTTTGTCCTGTGTGATTTTAAGTAGGCAAATTGAATAGAGTCTTCTAAAAAGAAATGGAAAGGTTACAATATAATATTTAACAATTATTCTACAAGCACGCATTGGATATGAGAGGATAGATAGCCAACGAGGCGCGTAGCGCTGAGTTGACTATAATCACCTCATATCCAACAAGCGCAAGTGGAATAACTGTTTTATTAAAAGCACCCCCAAGATATTAGACAAATTTTACCAAATCTAAAATTTTTTAGCTCCCTTTTAATTCTAAGCTGACACATACGCTTGCCATCTTTGTAGATTATGGTATATTGGCTCATACACCATAATGGCTCAGCCAATAAAAATTCTTGAATTGCATTATCCAATGATCCAGTTTTTAAAATTCAATATTTAACAATTACTCGCTGAAGG